GCGGTCCTTGCAGAATCTTGGGCCCAAGGCCCTGGGCCCGAAGCTGCCCTTGCAGCTCCTGCAGCTCCTGGGCCAGCTGCCGACGGTTGGGAGTGTGGATGTGCGCCCTGAGGCAGCGCAGTAGCTGCTCCACATGATTCCTCCCCAGATGGGAACCCTGAGGAGAAAGAGAAGGTCATCAGCGAGTATTCCGGCCTGAGCCGGGGGAGATGTTGGTGGGAGGGTGCGGGGCGCGGTGGGGTGGGGAGCGGAGGGACGGGGGAGGCCTTAAGCAGGACTCCTGTCGGTGCTCAACCAGCAGGGGGCGCCGGGGCGAGCCGCCCACCTGTTCCTGCTCCAGGCACAGACTCTCTGCCAGGGCCTGTAGCTCCTGCTCCAGTACCGTAGCCAACATGGCCCGGCGCTTGCTCTCTTGGTGCAGGAGGCTCAGCCCCGAACTCTCCTCAGGGGACGCGGGCTCCTCGGCCCCAGTCTCCTCAGGCACCCTGGGTGCAGTGAAGAGTGGCTGTTGGAGGGTGGGCAGCAACACCATCCCGCCACCTCCACCCCAGAGTTTGAATCCTGGCTTTTACTTTTATGCCCACCTCACAGGGACAAAAGAGATGAACTCAGCATTGAGAGGGCACAATAAATATAAGTAAGAGCATTTGGGAGGAGGGCACCAAATGCCATCCTTGCAAGTAGTCAAAGTGCCCAAGTCCCCAAGGAGGGCTTTTTCTGGAGGGAGTGTACCAGGACAAAACCAGATGAAGCAAACCCACCCCAGGACCCTGGGTTCTTACCGGAGCTGGCTGGTGTCCCCATAACTGAGGCAGCGCTTGGGGGGACTGGGAGGGTGCTGAGAGGGTGCCTGAGGCCGCGGGAATGTCTGGGACTGGGAGGTCAAGTCAGCTAAAGGAGTGGGGCTGGCGGAAGGGGTGTCTGAGGGAGGGACAAGGCTGTCATACGGGGCCCCCTGAGCCCTCTCACCTTCACAGCTCCTCTGCCCTCACCCCAGCGTGCTCACTCCCTCCACCCACTCGGTACCTGAGGACCTTAGAGCATGTTGGGGGGCACCGGGGTTGCGGCTCTTCTTCCCGGGTTGCAGGAGGGGGTCCTCCAGCAGTGCTTGAGCACTGGCTCGGAGGCGGGGATCTGGCTCAAAAGTTCGGAGGAGGAAGGCTTGAGCCTCGGCTGACAGAGAACTGGGCATTGGTGGGTGCACCTTGTACATGCCCACCTGGGAAGAGGGCAGGGAGGGGACACGAGGGACAATTTTAGAGGCGTTCAGGGCCCAGTCTGTCCCCACCCCACCGCATAAGCCAGGCCGTGAGGGATCTCACCTGAAACATGGCAGCCTGCGGGCTCCCCAGCTCGTGGAAGGGTGGGCGACCTGTGGCCATCTCGATTACAGTGCAGCCCAATGACCAGATGTCCGCTGCCTTCCCATACCCTCGTGGGCCCTGGTCAATGATTTCTGGGGCCATATACTGTAGGGTCCCTAGGACAGGAGCAGTAGCAATAATGCACATCTAGGCTTTGTCACTGTGGGGGTGGCAGGGGGCTCTGTCATCCACTGGCCACTTGCATTCACCCTGAACTTTAGTATCCAAAACAGTTCCTATCACCTCCCCTGGTCATCAGACATCTATCCTGAGGCTCCTCACTCATCTCAGGCTCCGTCACATTCATGGGCTCCATCATCCACAGTAGGTGCCATCATCTAACCTGGATTGCATCATCCGCTTTGACCTCTGGCCCGCATCAACACTTCTGGACTCCGTTTCAGGGACTAAACTCAATGTCATCAGCTATCCAAGCTCCAGTTCTAGATTCTATCACCTAACCCCTGGCTCAATCACCTGCCCCGGGTTCCATCCCCCATTAGGACTCTAACTCCATGCCCAGGAGAAACAGCATTCCCTGGAAGGTCCCAAGAGTTCTCTGCCCCACGTCAGGAACCCCATTCACCACCCCACCCCCTGTTACCTGTGAAGGTCTCAGTGCAGGGTGTAATGCCTGCTAGTCGCTTGGAGGTACCAAAGTCGGAAATCTTGAGCAGCCCGCTGAAGGTGTTGATCAGTACATTGTCCCCCTGAGTAGAGTGGACATTGTGCTCAGCGGACATCAGGCTGGGCTCCTGGTGCCAGAACTGGACTCTATCCCGAGACCCTGACTCCTGGGACTCCCAGCCTGACCCTGCCTCTGTCAACCTCCTCCCCCTGCCATCCCACTTATCCCCCTCTGGAAGTTAGCTTCAGATCTGAACTTCTTGCCTTCTCTAGGGAACCTTCTTGATGAATTCCCCAACCCTTGGCAAAGGGTCTGTCCACTTACTCTAAACTGTCAGCCTCTGTCTGGGGCCATATCTCTTCCTCCCCACCCCCCACCAGGGTGAGCCAGCTACACGCTGACCTTGATATCTCGATGCACGATGCGGTTGTCATGCAGGTAGCTGAGTCCCTGCAGGATCTGGCGGGTGTAGAAACTGATGGTGCTCTCGTTGTCCTGCAGGGGTCCCCACACTGACCGCAGCAAGGAGGACAGGCTGCCTGGGAAGATGAGTCCAAGGTCATAATTGGCACCCACTTACTCCAGCGCACAGCTCTCTGCTCAAAGGCCAGGCCATGGCCCAGACTCCATCACCCAACTGCACTGCCTCAGCTAATTCTGGGCTACACTACCCACACACGCTAGAGTTCATTTTCCCGGAGGGTTCTCCACCCCTGCTTGGCTCCAGCCCCATGCCCCACAACTCCAATTCCATTCCCATCCCACACAAGGCAGGAACCTCCAGGCACTTCCTCCATGAAGATCTTGAGGTAGCCGCCCTGACTGGCTGAGCCCAGATAGCGCACGATGTTCTTGTGGCGCAGGCGTTTGTGCAGAGCGATCTCTTCATGCAGTGGCTGAGAGAACCTGGGGGCAGGTAGGGAGTAAAGAACAGGCCAGCTTGGGGCAGAGATGCTTACCCAACTCCAGCGCCAGCAAGGCAGGCCCCCAGGATCTGCCCCACCCACCAGCACCCCCGCCCCTGACCTTCCGCAACTTAATCACCCAGCCCACACGCCCTTCAGACCACAGCCCGCCCTCCGGGTCCCTGCAGTTCTGCGCACAGGCCTGGGCCCACCGGGCTCGTACTCTCGCTTCTGTGAGCCAGCGCACTCGGCTCGCCCACTTGGGCATCCGCGTCGCCCCCGCCTGCAGTCCCGCCCACAGGACCCTCTCAACTCGCGGTCCCGCCCATTTGACCCGCCCACCTGGTCCCCCAGCCCCCCACCCCGAGCCCTGAGCCCCGCCCGCGTGGCCTCAGGTCCCAAACCTGCTGTCCCGCTCCGGGATCTCCTTGATGGCGATGCGCACCCGCGTGTGCCGATCGCGGCCGGCGTACACCACCCCGTAGGTGCCCTTGCCCAGCACCAGCCGCTCTCCCGACTCCGTGTACTCATAATCAAACTGGGGGCCGGGTGAGATGCGGGGTTCAGCTGGGCCCTCAGCCCTTCCCCCTCCTCAAGCTCCCAGCAACCCCTTCCTCACCTCCAATATCTCCCCTCCGCCCTCCGCCTCCTCTGCGGCCGCCGTGGAGTCCGGATTCTTCACCAAGGCCTGGATCAGCCCGCAGAACCTGAGGGCAGAGATCAGACTGATGGGAGGGGCACCTGGGGCGGAAACTGTCCCCTCTTTGCCGAGAGCACCCAGGGAACATGTCCCTTCCTTTCCCTCAATACCCCGGGCACCCTTGCCCTCAGAGCACCCCGACCCCGAAGGGCTGTGCGCACCACTGGCAGTGCCCTCCGCTGGGGAAGCACAGCTGGACGTCCTGAGCCGGGGGAAGCGCAGAGAGGAAGCAGCAGCGCTCGTCTCGCTTCGACACGCTGGAAGGGATGAAGAACCCCAGTGAGCCGGGCAGCCCAGCAGCGCCGCCCCCGCCCCCGCCCGACCTCCCCCAGGTCTCCCCTCTCACCTGACACCGCTGATGGAGGCCACCGGGAAGGTCCAGCTGGAGGGAACGTCCTGTGAGAAGAAAAAGGTCCGAGAGGGGTGTGGGGACCGGGAGAGGGGTCTGGGGATGGGGGAAAGGCTGGAGAGAAGGGGTGCATAGATGTGAACGGGGGTGACTCACCGGCGATATCACCTGCTTACTGGGCTCCAGCAGGCTCACTGTCACTGTGCTCACCGGGTTGGTACCCTGAGCCTCCAGCCTGGCCGGTAGCAGCGCCTTATTCATCTCCAGGACCAGCACCTGCAGATGACAGGGGAGAGGGGTTGGTCAAAAGGGGCCTGCCCCTCTCCCAGGTCCCACACCCCACGGGCCTCACCAAGCACTGCTCCCCTTGGAGACAAGTCATCTTGAGTGGCTGGCAGGACTGTAGCAAAAAGTGGAGCCAGAAGTGGGCGAGGTGTGGGGTTTCTCCAGGAGGCTCTAGTGTGGGTCTGAAGTGCTGGTACAGCAGGAAGGTTTCCATCACAGACACCAGGTACCTGCAGACACAGCCTTGCCCTCAACTCAGCCCAGGCACCAGCTAACACTGCCAGGGAGAGTAGACTGGCTTGGATGCAGCCAGAATGTGGCCATTGGGCGCCATGGGCACTGGTCTGAAAGAGGTTCAGACTAGAAGCCAATGGATATAGGTGCAGAAGCTGACAGCCCAGGCCAGCCCAGGACCACCACAGAAGGGGCCACCTACCATATGGGGGCATTGAGCTTGTACAGCTGCTCTGCAGCCAGTGCCACCTGGGTGAGGTCATTGACGAGGATCTGAGCTCCCAGGTAGAAGCCAACATCCCAGTAATACTGCATCTTCTCCACACAGCCTTTTCGGGCCAGCAGGCAGCCCAGCTTCATGCCTGGGAGGGAGGGGCATGGGTTGTATTGGATGTGATTACAACTTTGGGCAAAGCCCAGGTGTAGACCACAAAATTCATGTGGGCAGGAACATAGAAATGGCTAAAAAATTAGGTGTGCCCAGATCTCAGGTGGGAGTAGGAGCTCAGGCACAGGTAAGGGTTTGGGAACAAGTGTACGTGGAATTCAGTGTATAAGGAACACAGGTGTGAGCTTAGGAACAGTTGTGGGCTCAAGGGCTCACGAGGGCCCAGGACCGGGATGGGTTCAGGCAGAACAGGTCCAAAAGGGGATGGGGTCGGCCTCAGCTCCAGCCCAGTGTCTTCTCTCCCCAGGCCCCTCTGAGCTCCTGTGGGTAGGGGATAGGGGTGCAGGATTGGGGTTCACCTATGAGCCGGAGTTCCTTGGAGTCCTCAAAGCGCTGCCCAGCGGCAATGAGAAGCACAGCTGCATTGATGCCCGAGTGGAGGCTGGGCTCTACATCAAAAGCCTTGCGATACCTGGGGTAAGGGCGGGGGGACATGGGGCTGGACTGATGCCCACAGCCTCATTCCTCATCCCTCTAGCTCAGCCCACTGTCCACTCGTTTGGGCCCCTTACCAGTGATAGGCCTGCTCCCGGTGCCCAGCATCCTGGAAGCCAGAGCTGAAGAACATGTCCTTATAGATACGGCCACACATGCAATATAGGTCAGGTGCCACTGAGCCCTCAAACTGTACCAGTGGCAGCAGCACAGCCAGTGCCTTCTCCCGGTCCCCAGGCCTGTTCCTCCTAGGGGAAGGGGAAGAAGGCTGGGAACCCACCTGATGGCCCTGCCTCCACTCTCTGTCTAGGACCCCCCAGACCCTGAACAGCAGGGACCCTTCCAAGGGCCTGACAATCATGAACCCAGAATAGCAGTGACTCTGGTCAGCTCTGATCTTTCTAGAGGTAGCGACCCCAGATGGAAGTGATTTCTAGCTGCAGTGACTCTGAGAAGCAGTGACCTTGGATAGCTGTGACCACTCCAAGGGCAGCGCCACCAACCCACCCCACCCCACCCTGGGCAGCAAGAACAGAACAATAGGGACCATTTGACATCAGTGTGACCTTGGTCAGCAAATTCCCTGAACAGCAGTGATTGCAGACAGCAATGACTTTGCACAGCAGAGACCCATGTCCCCACATGCTATGACCTGAGCCTTGCTCTGCTACCCACCGGTTGAGGGCAAATGTGTAGTGGAAGCAGACACTGTGCTGCTCGGCCACGTCACAGGTGGGCAAGGCCTGCAGTGTCTCCACCAGCTCAATGATGGCTGAGTAGTCCTGCAGGAGGGAATAGCATGCCCTGGCCTGTTGGCCTCTGGTGGGTCCCATCGGCCCACAGACCCTGAGGTAAACCTTGAGCTGGGGTCCCCTCCCACCCCGACACCCCATCTTCCCACCCACCATCCTCTTGCACACCTCCTTCAGGCCCAGCAGGTAGTGTAGACACCACACCTTACACGGAGAACCCACTGTGTGCCCCAGCCTCCCAGCTGCCCTGGGAGACAAGATCGTCCCCTATTACAGATGAGGAAACCGAGGCTCAGAGACGTCAGATAATTTGTTCAAAGCCACCAGTGAGCAAGTGAGTCCAGGAGCTGGACTCGGGTTTGTCCGACACTGAATGCTGCTGCCCCCACTGCCCGCCTCTCTGAGCACCACACACCTGCACATCACGGTAGGAGAGCAGCAGGTTGATGATGATGTCAGGGCTGAGCAGCTCTACGCTGTCCAGTCTCCGCTGTAGGCGAGCCAGCTCCTGCCGCAGCTGCTGCCCGCTGAACTGCTCCCGTGCCTGCCGGATGTCCTGCCGAATGGTCTCCCGGAAATAGCCACTAACGTCCACGGCAGGGGAGCGGGGGAGAGAGAATGGCCGGGCTCGCCCGTCAGCCCCAGCCCCCTGTACCCTCACCAGCCTCCTCCTGGTGCACCTGCTGAGGGCCCCCATTACCAGGAGTCCGTGGGCGTGGTCTCCAGCAGGTGGGCAAGCCGGCCCACCAGGGGTGTGAGCAGCACCTCGGTGCCCACCCCAGCCTGTACCAGGCCGTCAGCCAGGCCCCTCAGGAGGCCCGCATCTCCACATAGCACCCGACCAGTGGCTGTCACCACATAGGGGATCAGCGTGTAGCTGCCAGCGCTATCCTGGTGGGAGGGAGGTGGGAATCAGTGGAGGTCAGAGGTCAGTACCAGGTTAGAGAGGGGCAGTGAGGGGGTCAGAGGTCAGCACCAGTGGGGACTAAAATAGCAGGGAAGGGGCATACTTCATGAAGGGAGACCCCAGGGAACAAAGGGTCACATGGATGTCAGGGGGCACTAGGGAGGTCAGAGAGGAATGAGGAGGCCAGGAAAGATAGTGGAGGTCAGAGGTTATAATGGAGGTCAAAGGGCACATTGGAGCAGCGGTGGTTTCTGCTCACCGAGTTCTTCTGGAAAATGTCCTCCTGCAGGGGACAGACATTCAGATACTGGTGTTCTGAGTAGGGCCACCCCAGCTCTGTGCCGGCCCCCACCAGCCCACTGGCCACCTACCCGTAGGGCCTGCAGGTCAGGGAGGTCGGCCTGGGAGCAGAGGAGCACGTTGTTGGTCATGCTGAAGCTCTCCCGCACACCCAGGTGGTAGAACAGGGAGGGCTGCGCCAGGGAGCTGTTCACCTCCAGCACCACCACATCTGCGGGCACACGGGTGGGAGCCCTGAGCCCTGAAGCCCAGCTTGTGGGGAAAGAGCCTGGGGATCCATCCTGGCTCAGCCTGCCTTCCCATTGTGACTCCAGCAGGGTCCAGTTTTGCTCTGGGCCTCAGTTTCCCCCTTTTAGGGTCCCTCTGGCTCATACAGAAATTATATCTATAGTATTGCAAGGAAAGGAGTGGAGCTCCCCTGGCTATGACTCACATCCCACTGTTCAGAGCCTGCGGACACAGGGCACAGAGAAGGGGAGGCTGTGCACCAGTCTGGAGCCTGTTCCAGGCCATCTGAGAGGCAGGAGTTGTGCAAAGATAAAAGTCCCCTTCCCTGGGTTCTCAACCCAGTCTCTTGAAAGGGGCTGGCACGAGCAGTGTGCTGTGTGTATACACATGTGTATACACACATGCCCTGTGCGTGTACAAACACTGTGCCTCTGTGTATGTGTGTGGGTGTGGGTGTGTGCAGCTTGCTGTGTCTGTATCTCTGTGTGTGATAGTGTCTGCGACAGTTTATGTGAATCAAGATATGTACGATTTGTGAGTCTGTGACTCTGTGTGTCTTTGTGTCCTCAAGGTCGAGTCAGCCTTCATTTTTAGGCTGAGGTTTTATGGACATCCTGCAAGTACGGTTCCTGGACTCTTGGATGAACAAATAAGTATCGGGGGCGGGGCGTCCGGGATGGCGAGAGGGCGGGGTGACCCTTGCGGGAATAGCCGCCTTCTGGTCCCGCCCCCGGACGACCCTGCTCCGCCTCCAGCCCCCACCCCCAAGCTCGGCGCATTCTCTCGGAACTACTGGGGTCTCATAACCCAAGCTCCCTCGCCTAGAATCCAGTGCAGTTGGGCAGTTGGTCCCCTTCACTCTCTTTCTGCCTCTCCAGCCGGATCCTCGGAAGCAGTGTGCTAGGACCCCTGAATTCCAGGCCCACATGTTACGGCTCCTTTCCCCAATCCAAGTTCCACCTCCCAGGATTCTCCGTCATGAGCTCCGTGCGAGATCATCCCGAGGCTGAGTTCTCCAATCCCACTCCTGAGATACCACACCCTGCCCCGCTCCCAGACTCTCCCTAGGCACTGTGCCGACTCCAGAGTGCTTAAGCTCCAACCCTGAACCACGAGCCAGGCCTGGATCCGCTAAATCCCTGCCCGAGTCCGGCCGTGCTCCAGATCCCCTAAATTCCACTTTTATCACGGCCCCGCCTCGAGCCCCTAGACTTTAGCTCACATTATGCCCGCATAGCCCCCTACACCCCACACCTCGGGATCTCCCAGGAGTCGCCGAGCCACGCCCCTTAGGCTCCTCCCCAGACCCTAAGCCCCGCCCCAGCGCGCCGCCCCGCCCCCAGGAGCGCTCACCCGCGTTGTAGAAGGAATCGAGCGCTGAGGTGTCTCCCAGCGCCAGGGTCCCAAAAGGCAGGCTGCGCAGCTGAGGTCGTGGCCGCGGTCCGGGGAGCTGCGCGCACGCCTCACGCAGGCAGCGCAGAGGCAGCGGCTCCGCCTCGGCTCCAGTCTCGGGTTCCGCTAAGGGCTGCGGATCCCGGGTCAACACGTAGACCACGCTAAGTGGCCGGCTTCGCGCGCAGCCCCGGCCCGGGGACGCCGCAAGCGGCCGGCCCCGGCTCAGCGCCTCGGCCAGCGGGTCCTGCCAGCAGCTGCCGGCGCGCTCCGCGGCTCCGGACCTCAGGCACTGCCCCGCCATGCGGGGGCGCCCGGGCGTCGGGCGCCGAGCTTTGGGCACCCGGGGCGGGACAGGAGCCAGAGACAACAGATACCGGGATCTCGGGATCGGGAATCAGGTCAGGATCGGGAATCTCCTACGGGATCTGAAGATCTGGAGAACTGGAGATCCGGAGTCCGGCCGGAGGTCCCGTTTGGGAATCTGGTGTCCAGGGCGAAATCCGGCCTCTGACTTGTAAGGTCCTGAGGATCTGAAATCGGGGATTGGGGTCCAGGGAATCTTGGGCATCCGGTGATCCGCGACTCAGAGTCACGTGGGGGAATCCTGAGAATCGGTCAGGCAGTGCTCGCCACCCGGATTCCGCAGGAGAGCGCCGGCAGTCGCTCTCTCCTGCCCTCACATGTATACAGGCCGGGCCCAGCCCTTTCCTGGACGACGGGGAAAGCTCCACCCTCGGCCCTGGGGCAGCACCGCTCCCTAGCGGCCTGGGACTCGGCCTCTTCCCTCCCTCCTCTCCCGCCAGAACCTCTGAGACAGGCTGCTTCCGGAACAGCCTGTGCCCCTGTGCACGCCAACCACTGTGGACTGCTCACAGCAGGCACTCGTAAGATGTGTGCCCAGGGGACTTCTCTGGTGGTCCAGTGGCTGAGACTCCACACTCCCAATGCACGGGGCCCAGGTTTGATCCCTGGTCAGGGAACGAGACCCCACATGCCACAACTAAGAGTTCGCATGCCACAACTAAAAGATCCCACATGCCGCAAAGAAGAGTTAAATAAATAAATAAATAAATACACACACACACACACACACACACACACACACACACACACACACACACACACACGTGTGTGTGTGTGTGCCCAGGCCAGGGCTAAGGAAGGCAGAGGTGGGAATTGCAGGCCCTGCCCCCTGTGGGGTCTGTTAAAAGAAAGGATCTCCAGAGACATTAATGTGTGTAGAACACAGCGTACAGTGCCACGAAGAGTGCCTGTCCTCCGGGTCCCTGCTGTGCAGGCTGGGAGGGACTAGAGACTGGGGGAAGCCTGCTCCTCAGCCTGCCAGGAGCATGGGACTTGGCATCTGAGCCCGGTCCTTTGCACTTTTGCCAGGGGGCTGCTTTTCCCGTAACCCAATCTGCTGTGGAGCCCTTCTGATCTATGACCTCCACCCAGAACATGACCATGGAACCTGAGAAGAATCCCCACGCAAACGTTTCTCTGCTACCTGGAGAACACCAGAAACCCCAGCCCTTGGGCTACAACAGCTTCCCAGCTCCAATCCCCAAGAATCCCTAACCTTCTAGTGTGAATTAGTGAGGCAGCAGCCTGGTATAAACTTCAGTGAACTCTGAAATCAGGAACTGGGGACTTAGAGAGGTTGAGTAACTTGTTCAAGATCACTCATCTACATGACAGAGCAGGATACGAGCCCAGGACTATCTGTCAGGCTCAGAGATCAGACTCTTAACTATTGCTCTAACCCTTTCTAGAATGTGACACTGGCAAATTAACTAACTGCTCAATAAATGCCAGCTCAGTACCGCTGTTTCACTGCCTTGTTGCCCCATGGAAGAAAAATGTACCTGCCTTTGTTTGACTGAGTTCAAACTAACCCCTAATGGGACAGGCAAGAAGTAGCAAAGAATGAGAACTTGACTTACAACAGAGCCTGGAAAAGAGACAACTTAGGAGGGACAAGGAGGGGGCAACAGAGAGGGTGAGATAGCTGTGCAATTCCCACCACAAAACCATCCACTTGTGGGACTCAGGGGCCCCAAGAGTATTGTCAGTGGATGTCTGAATCCTTCCAAGTCCCCTACTCAATGCTCCTCTGGCCTTGGCTTGCACACCTCTTGGGATGGAAGCCTCACTACCTTTTGAGGCCGATTCGTCCGTCTTCCTGACTGGAAGGAATATCTTCCTTGAATGGAACTGAAACCTGTGCCCTGCTCTGCCCTTGTGAGTTTTTCCCAATAACTGGAAGAGGTCTGCAAGCCAGGAAAGGGTTAAAGTGATTTTCTTTTTTTTAACGTGGACAGAGGAGCAAAGATGGTTAGCAATGGGGAGGGGTAGCCGAGGGTCCAGAAACTGTACGGGAACGATGAGATAACCCTGCTTGTTGCCAGGGTGCCCTAGCAAAGCATTATGTGAACCCTGTGGTAAGGGTGGCCCACGCCACAGTCTGAGGCCCAGTCAATGTCATCATTACGGGCAGTAGCTTCGGACATCCAGTGGCGCCCATTGAGATTGGACTGATAGCAGGATCTGAAACACCAGGCACCACGGACAGTCACCTCGCAGTTGCTCTCGCTTGTATCATGGTTGGTGTCATAGGTGGTAAAGGGTTTCCTGCCGTGGAAGCTCAGGGAGTCCCCTGGAAGGAAGGGGATGGGAGGCACCTAGGTGCCGGCACCATGCCTGGCACCCTTGGAGAAATGATCTCACAGGAGCCTCAGAGCAGTTGTGAGGTGGATGTTTTCAAGCCCCATGAGAAAACAGCAGTGCCAAGGAGCCAGGGTGTTTGCCCAAGGCTACACAGGGCCATTGGGACTTGAGCTCAGGACTGTGGCTCCAAAGCCACTGGCTCCTCCCCCTACCTTTTCCCCTCCCAGAATCCTCAGCTTCCCTCTTGCTCCTTTGTCTCCTCCCAGCTCCCATCTGCAGCCTGAGCAACTGTGCCAGGGAGAGCTGGGAGGGATTTCTCAGATGCCTGGGCAGGAAAGGGGGCTCTCCTGAGGCACCTCCTCATAACCACTTCCCTCTTTCAGATTTCTCCTTAACAGTTGGTGTTTCTTTGAAAAAAGCCTTCTCTGGTTCCTCTTCCAAAGCAGATAATGCTGGGGACTTCCCCGGTGGTCCAGTGGTTAAGACTCCACACTACCAATGCAGGTGGCCTGGGTTCGATTTCTGGTCAGGGAACTAGATCCCACATGCATGCCGCAACTAAAGATCCCACACGCGGCAATGAAGATCCCACATGCCGCAACTAAGAACTGGCAGAGCCTAAATAAATAAATGAATGAATAAGTATTTTTTAAAAAAGGCAGATAATGCTAACACTCAACAGAGCTTCAGAGGTCTCCCACACCCTCCCTCCCTGCCTCCTTACCCATTTTACAGGGGAGGAAACTGAGGCTCTGACCCAGAAGGGCCTTGCCCAAGGTCACATAGTTAGTAAATGACAGAGCTGGACTTTGAAACTCAGGATTGTTTTGCCTCCAGAGCCCAGCTTCTTCACTCCTACACCACACTGTCTCACGACTGCCATTTTTCAGATGAGGAAACTGAGGCCCACAGAGGGGAAGGAGTTGTCCTGGGTCATTCATGGAGGCCGTGGCAGCCCTGGGAAAGAACCCAGCCTCCCTCACCTTCTTTGCCTACTCCAGGGCCCCACTGTAGGCTCTCTCACCTGCAGTGCCCTCTGAGAACCTGCCCAGCACTAGCTGGGTAGTGACCTGCCTCCCCAAGGAGGCCCCACAGCAAGCAAAGGTGCGGTTGCCTTTAAAGTCCTCCAGCTCCACCCGCAGCTCCCGGGTACCTGGGGGACAGGGAGGCAGAGATGGAGGAATCCTCAGATCCCAGGTGGGAAGTCAGAATGCCAGAGAAATGCCCCTCCAGCTCCCTGGACCCTACTGAGAACCTACTCTGGAGAGTAAGCTGGGGCAAATTCTCATTATCCAGCCAGAATTCGGACTCCTGGCTCCCAAGACCTGCTTGGTAGGAGGACCAAGAGCAGAAGAAATCCACGGAACCATCCTGTCACCGCTGGAATAGCTAGGGAGGCAGAGAAGGCTAGCACGGCAGCCATTACTCCAGGCTGAGCATGGGATGAGGAGAAGCAGGGGGCAGAGGCAGCTGAGAATGGATGCACTGTGGGGGGGGTAGGTGGACAGGCACCCCCCTCTTTGGATTGGGGGCTTGTTGATAAAGTGTGAGTCCAAGTGAGCCTTGCCTGTGAATATGCTGATGAGCTCCACACACACTTATTACCTTTTACTGACTCTCAACTTCAGACTGCAGCCTCGAAAGCCCTGGGGGAAATGAAATGAGAGAAACATCGTCCCTGTCCTCGGGAGACGGTCAGTCCAGTTGGGGGTCAGATTCAAAATAACCTGTTTTAATTTACTATCATAAGAACCAAGATATTAGAGCAGAGAGGTCACCTCCAGAGGCCCACCCAGCCTTACCCTGACGCTCCCTCCCAACCCCACTTTCCTCTTCAAGCCAAGCAGACCCCAGGCCCTGCAGAGTTTCTCTCCTAAATATCTTTCAGTCTAAGAGCCTCTACTTCCATTGTTGCCACCGCCCACCCTCTTCTCCTGCCCCAACCCCTGCAGTTGTCCTAACCTGTGTCCCTACCTGCAGTCTGGTCCCCACTCAATGCATCTGCCACAGTGTAGCCTAAGTCTTCTTTCTAAAACATGTCTGACCTGGTCCCTCCTCTGCTTAAAACTCTTCCATGGCTCCCCACTGCCCTCCACACTCCTCAGTGGGTCATTCAGTGCCCTCTGTGAACTGGTCTTTTCAGGGGCCCTCAGTCCATGCTTGACCCACAGCAGTAGACCTCAGCCAACCACTCCACCTGCTCTCAGCTGATTCATACAGTCCCCCCCCACCCTCTTGTACTCTCCTGCCTCCTTATATTTGTCTTTCCCCCTACCTGGAATGCCCTTCTACACCTCATCTATCTCGAGAACTTCTACACAGCCTTCAAGGCCCTTTCAAATGGCATCTCCTCTGTGAAGCCTTCTCAGACTTCATTCCTTAGTGAGTTACGCTTAAGGGATGCCTTGGCTCTGGTAGGCTCTGGCTCCCCCTAGGGGCCAAGAGGAAGAAGTGCCCACTGGGCCTGACTTCTGAGTCCCTTCTCTCCCTGACACTCGCTCACCAGCCAGCGGCCCCTCTGTGATGTCCACGTCACAAAAGACTGGGACGGCTCGGATAGGCACAGATGGTACCAGCTGCTCAAGGTGGCACCCCGGCTCAGCAGCTCCTGGCAGCTCCTGGGGCCTGGGGAAGGGGAGATGGACTGAGGGGGGCCCCCAAGTTATTCCCCACCCCCATCCCCCTCACAGGCAATGGAACAGGCCAAGTGTGGGACCCAGGAGAACTCTTGATTCCTTTGGACCCCTGAAGAGGGGTTCCAAGGTGCGCTGGGCAACACCTGGGGTCCACCAACACCCCAGCACCAACTGACTCCAAGTGCCTGGCTCCTGTGAAGGCGGCCTCACTCTCCTGGCCCCCGAGCAGGTTCACTGAATCTCCTGCCCCAGGGAAAGATGAGTGTTAGCTCTTGAGGTCTGAGTACCTCCAAGGGAATGCCCATTAACCACCAGAGGGGAGGGTGCCCAGGCCCTTCTAATTCTCCCCACTCCTCCCAGCCTTCCACCCCCTCTGCAGGAGAGAAATCATAGCCAATTCCTGAACGGCAGCCAAGCAGAGGCAGGGACAGAGCAAAGAAAGACGAGGAGACCTCTGGCCGCACATACTCACCAGGCTCACCCTTGGGGCCCATCTTGCCTGGTGGTCCAAGTTGCGCTGAAATCCCAAGGCAGAGATGCATTACATCCCACCCCATGTCAGGGTCCAAAAAGCAACGAGGGATTTGGAGCCAGAAATCAAATCCCAGCTGCAGCCCTTCCTGGCTCTGTGAATGTGGGCAAACTGCTTATCCTCTCTGAGCCTCACTTTCCCCCTAGCAAAATGGGGATGGTACCACCTACCTCACAGGATCAATCTTCGGATGCTGGGCATCCGGCCTGGAGCCTGGCACGCAGTAGGTTCCTTGCCCTTTTGTCATGGGCTCTCAGCACAGACTGTAACTGCTGCACCCCGTCCTCCCCAGCTTGCCCCAGGTCCCTGCCTGCTCCACGGCACCTCTCACCTTGAGGACCTGGCTCTCCCTTCTCTCCAGGACTTCCTGGGGCTCCAGGACAACTGGGCAGGAGGACAACTTTGCTGGCTTCCAGTTCCCTGGGTTCTGCAGGGAGACATGGGGCTGGGTGGGCACAGGATGGGCATGGGGGGAGTGGGCATTTCTCTCCCAGACCCCTCTGCATTTCTGTTTTCACCCCCCAGATTCTAGCTGTCGGGACACTGGCCTCCGGAGCTGGCAAGGTTTTTCACCATTTGCATCTATTTGCATATGTTTTTGTGCAGAGCCCAGATTATCAAACTCCCACACTGCTCCTTGAGGCTAGTGAGCCTGGCTGGGAGAAGGATACCTAGGGAGAGAATGAGGGCAGATGGGTACGGGGGGCGCCCCAGGCCTCTACCTGGGCAGCTGGGGCATCCTGGCTTCTCAGGCGGGCTCCCCAAACAAGAGGAGCAAAAGGGAGAGTGGGGTCCAGAGTGGGCCCACCTTGCTGGAGCCCCTGAGGGAGGATGCCAGTTTATAAGGGGCCAGGCTGGTGAGAGGACATGAAACAAGACTTCCTCCTGTTGTCCCTCCCCAGGGACACACCACCCAGGCTGGAACCAGCAGAAGGTGGGGGCATTTCCTTCCTCAGCCCTGGAGAGAATGCGCATAATCCCTGCCTCCTCCAACCAGGATGGAGTCCAACTTCTGCTCCTGGCCTCTAGGGCTCTGCAGCCAGCTCTTCAGACTTCTGGGTTCACATAGGGATTTTCTACCTTTGAACTTTAGCTAAGTCTTTGCCTTCCATCCGGAAGCCCCCTCCTCTTCTCTCCCTGTGAAGCTCCGCCCATCCATGAAGGTGCAGCCCTAATGCCATCTCCACTAGGAATCCTTCTCTGATCCTTGTCACCAGTGTCAGGAATGACCACTGCTACCGTCTGTTGGGCACCTACTGCACCCCACGAGTCATGCTGGGTGCGGTACGTTACCTCCCATCGTTACACAGCCCCCCTCATGGTCGTTATTACTGGTCCTGGGTTATAGGCTGGTACACAGCAGGTGCTCAGTTAATGTTGGCTAAATGAATGAATAAAAATGGAGAAACGGGCCCAGAGACAGGACATGATTTGTGTTCTCTCTGGCACTTATATGCCATAGATTTTGCCCAAGCCCATGTTCCCCCACCCTCTTAGCAAGGTGACTTCATGCCCACCCTCAGGTCCACTGAGAAGCCCCTGGCAGTGCCTAGAAAACAGCTGCTAATATAGGCCATCGAATGGGCAGACCGTGCAGGGCAGGCATGGAGGCTGGGAGGCCAGTGAAGAGGCAGCAGCCTTGGTCCAGATGTGAGTGGTGAGGTCTGAGCTGGAGAGGAGAGGAGAGGAAAGGCTCATTCATTCATTCATTCATTTCTGCATCAAACCCTCCCTGAGGGCCTCCTTTTTCCAGGCCCAGTGCTTGTGGGGGTAGGGAAGGTAGAGGCCAAGTTTGCCAGACAAGATGGATCCATGAGATGGACGCTGAGACTCTGCAATTCCAATTCTAGGAATCTGTCCTCGCTACTCTCTCCCACAGGTGTGCCAAGATCTGCAGACAAGCCCCTTTACCATGATGCTGTTTATGATAAAGTGGAAATGACCCAGCTGCACATTGATAGGATGCAGGCAAATAAATCATCACCATCTGTATAAGTCATAGGGCAAATCTGATCTATAATGAAAGGGGCAAAATTGCAGAACAATATGTAAAGCACGCTCCCACTTTGTATTTTAAAAACGCTAAATGTGTGCTGTGAATTCATAGAAAAAGGTCTGACACATCCTGTTAAGCATAGTTATTTCTGGGGAGTGGGACCAGGGGGAGAGGGATTCTCGCCCTTTATATAAACTTCTGTGTAGTCCTCTTGTTCCTTACAGGCATTTACTACTCTTTTTTTGGGGCCACACGGCTTATGGGATCCTAGTTCCCCAAAGAGGGATCAAACCCGTGCCCTCTGCAGTGGAAGTGTGGAGCCCTAACCACTGGACCGCCAGGGAATTCCCGGCATTTACTAATTTTGAAAAAGAAAACATTCAATAGAGAAATTTCCTTAACTGGGTGGAAAGCCAGAAAGATATAGGGGCATTTCCTGCCTTGATCTGGGAGGAATGGGCATTATACCAGCCAGGATTAAGTGCTGGGTGGAGAAGCCAAGGGAGGGTGACCCAGGCAGGAGAAACTGCGTGTGCAGGGGCTTGAAGAAGAGAGAGCAAGGCAAGCTGGGTAACACGAGGTAGATGCAAGGAGCTGGAGGGGAGGCTCAAGGGGAGGCTGATGTCTGAAAGGAGGGGGGTGTTGATGGAAGTGAGCATGGAGGGGGAGGGACGAGGAGGTGGACTGTGTTTGGCATTGTCCATGGTGGTGCGATGTCTAGGCAGGTGAGCCCTCTGTGAGGCCAAGGAGTAGCTGGAACTCCCTGTGGAGCCCAGGGGCCCTAAAGCCCTTCCAGCTGCAGCCGGAGACCCTGCACGGAGAACTAGGCCTGGGGCAAGAAGAGGTGCAGGTGGCTGACCACAGGCTGCCCAGCTGGAAGGGTGGATGGATGCCCTGGAATGAAGCAGACGGAGCACATGCACCTGCTCTGAACCTTCCCTATATCCCACAGAGATGGAAGCGCTGTTACCCAACTTTACAGATGAGGAAACTGAGGCCAAGAGCTGTTCAATTGTTCCCATTCACACAGAGCAGTCAGGCTCCACAGGCTGAACTTTCATCCATGACTTTCTATTGCCTCTCAGCTTCCTAGGACAGTCATGGGACTAAATCAGATACTGATGTCAGACTCTCAGCCACATGCCTGGTTTCCAGCAAGTGCCCCATTGATAGGAGATGTTATTAGTCAGGGAAGACTTCTAGGCCCAGGGATGGGGGATGAAGAGGGGGAGGTGGGCACAGGTGGAGCTTTCCAGAAGAGCCTGCTCAAGGAAGGCGAGAAGTACCCTGTGGAGGGTCCCGGGGGCAACTCCACCTTGGCACTGGGGCAGAGACGCAACTCTAGAAGGCAAAAGAGCCTGGAGATGCCTCTGCAGAGGAGTTCTGAAGTTCTGCTCATTCTAGAGTCAGAAAAACCTGGATTCAAATCCCAGCCCTGCCCCATTCCACTCTGTGTGATCTTAAGCAGGTGTGCTTACATTTCTGTGTCTCTGTACCCTTATCTATAAAGTCGTGGAGGAGGGGATTAAACACATGTGACAAATAAAAATATTTTTTGTTTTGGCTGTGCCATGCAGCTCGTGGGATCTTAGTTCCCCAACCAGGGATTGAACCCGGCCCCAGAAGTAAAAGCGCTGAGTCCTAACCACTGGACCACCAAGGGAATTCCCGCAAATAAAAATATTTTAAAAGGTGACAGTATCAGTTCAAGTCTGAATTTCCATTAAGGAGAGGACAGTGGCCATACCCCCACCCTATCCAATCCACACACAGCCCAAGACATGGGACATAAAACACAGTGCTGGAAAGAGCTCCTTTATTTGGGGGCAGTGTCCAGGCCAGGTTGATGGGAGGAGGCAGGCTCCAGACCTAGTACCAGGCAGGGGGCCCCACAGGGATGATGGATGAGACAGGAGGTGGCTGAAGGATGCTCTCATCTGCAGGTACCAGGCCCAGACAGGAGGGGATGTCATGTATTGGGCACCGAGCCTGCTCGGTGCCCACAGGGGCCAGAATTTGGTGACCACAGTTTCTCCCACCCCTAGTGCCCACAAGCGGGTCAAGAGGGCAGCCTCTTCATCCTTTTTCCCCTGAGTGTGGAATCCAGGCCTGAAGGGGGTCAGATTCTGCAGAGGCCAGACAGAGAGGGCACTCAGGGCAGTGGTCCCACCTCAGCCAGGCCAAGGACACCCACCCTCAGAGAGCAGGCGGTGGTCAAAAGAGCAAACACTTTAATGGAGGCTGCAGCGATCCGCCCCACAGCACACATGGGGCCACAGCACACGGGGGCCTCAGAGCAGCTCCCCTTCTCAGAGGAAAACCAAACCGCACACGTGGCCCAGGCCCCTGCCCATGGCCGCGGAGCTGCAGGCCGAGGGCTGCCCGCGCTGTCACCTACTGGCTCTCCTCCCTGCCGGCAGCGTGAGGGAACAAAGACAGGTGGGCTCAGTTGCGCTCGCAGACGCCAGGCCCAGGCCGAGTCCTGCCGCAGCCAACACCCAGCAGAGAGAACCCCACAACTGGAGGAGGGAGGAGGGGTGTGGCTCACATGGGGGAGGTTGGGAGGGACTCATCGCCCCTAAGGCTGCCCCATGGGGGAGCTAACAGGGACCTGAGGGGCAAGAGAGGGGGGCGGCTGGGCAGTGAGCTGGGACTCGGTGGGCTGGGTACTCACAGTGTCTGGTAGGTGCTGTCCTTGGCCTTGAGGAAGCGCAAGACAAAGAAGGCCACTGTCTGCAGGCTCAGCACCAGCACGACGCCACCAATGAAGCTGGCCCCATCAAAGCCAGGGCCGTGGGCCTCAGGGACCGAGGGGCTCTCTGCAGGGTGGAGGTCACAGCAGGCCACTGTGGGCCAGGAGCCCAGCCCCACCCCAATACCCGGCACAGGTCATCTGGAGGCCCCAGTCCTCACTATGGGAGCCTTGAGCAGCAGGCTCAGAAGTTCAACCCAGACCCTGTGGGCGGTTGGCAAGTGCCTGTGGGGAGGGCCAGTGCCTGGCTGGGGAGGCAGGGCCTTGGCTCGGCCCTGGCTCTGCTGCTGAGCTGCTCGGTGGCTTGATGCCTCTTACACCCTCTCTGAGCCTCCTGACTGCAGGGACCAGATGGTGACTGAGCTCCCTGCCAGCTTCCCTCTTCCACAGGGGCCCAACAGGGTGAGGACGGCCCCAGAACTTGGACATCCACACCCGCTTCAGCTCAGAGTCGCTCTCAGCCTTGGGTGTTGGGGTTTGAAGCCCGGATACAGATGCTGTGGTCTCCTTTCAGGACCCCTGAGTCCCGAGACCCTGGAGTCACCCAATGCCAGAGCCCTTACTTAGGGAGGGAAGGAGCAGAGGAAGAAGTGGAGGCCCACACCCTACCAAGTAGATAGATGAAGACTTGATGATGTACGTCAGAGGGAGAAGCCAGGCTCTGAGTGCCAGGCCTGTCCAAAGTCACCCCACAGTTAGGGCATAGCCAGACTCACACAGCATCCCCTGACCCTTTCCCCTGCCCCCGCCTTGTGGCCCACGGTTGCCAGGACGTCTGGGTGGCTCCCAGCTGTGCCACGTTAGCCATCAACTCCCACCAGGGATTCAATTTCAGGCCCTGGGCCAGGTGCCCAGAGCAGAGCAGAGCAGAGCAGGGCAGGGCAGGGCAGGGCAGGGATGGTGGTGGAAGATCATTCTGGGGCAGTGAAAGGGGGCCAGTTGGGAGCTGGGTCCACCTCCCAGAGGGAGTAGCTTGTGGAAGGGGGTCTGAGAATATTAAGGGCAAAGGGTAGTCCCAGCTGCAGCTCAGGGAGCCCCAGAGAAGGGCACTGGGGGAAGAGGAGCAGAAGAGGGAAGAAATAAGCTGTACAACACTGATCTGGGGCTCAAGCCGGAGGGAGCTGAGCCATCAATAATTCAGCCCCTAAGATCACGTTTCTGGCTTTAATTAACCAAGAGCCTCTTCAGCCATCCTTGCCAAGCCTGCTGACCTCCAGGCCCTGAGGGGCAGTGGGAACCAAGGGGTGGGGTTCTTGCCTCTGTTCTGCCAGGAACCTGCTTTGTGACCCTCTCTGGGCCTGGCCGTTGCAGTAGATAGTCACTGAGGACACTTTGGCAACCTGAGCCATACACCCTCAGCACCAAGTAGGTCCGGAGGGCGTCATCCTGAGTTCTCTGGCGTTGGGAGAAGGGATGGGAACCATCATTTTTTTTTTTTTTTTTTTCTTGCGTTATGCGGGCCTCTCACCGTTGTGGCCTCTCCCATTTGCGGAGCACAGGCTCCGGACGCGCAGGCTCAGCGGCCATGGCTCACGGGCCCAGCCGCTCCGCG